TCTTACTGAGTTCTCTGTAACCATAGGACTGTGCCTCCTGGAGCCACGACTACTCTCACCAAGCCGCTGACTCTAGAGCATTAGAACCCGGTATATATATATATATATATATATATATATATATATATATATATATATTGACTACTAATATTATCAATATCTATCTATCTATATATATATATATATATATATATATGTGTGTGTGTGTGTGTGTGTGTGTATTATTTTATACTTAATAATGGTAATTCCAAAGACCATTTAAATCCGACGAGGCAGAGAGAAATCAATGTAAGAACAACGCAAATGTAATAACGAAAGCGTAGACTTTAGCAATTCATTGGTAATAATATATGTTCCCGTGAAATATATTATTACCATGGAGTTATAAAGTCATTAACATTATAAGATCATTATATATTACACACACACACACATATATATATATATATATATATATATATATATATATATACAAGTTTAATTACAGAGGACCAAAATTGTTTATGAATTTACATGATCTTTAAGAGACTGTGTTCCTGATCAAAGCAAATTCACGAATAATTATATTAGACTCACAACTACATCCCTATGAAGAAGACTCACATTACATCTCTCTGATCATAGCTCAATTAAAACCGATTTAAACATACACGGAAACCTACCAAAATCCTTCCGCAACATACTCATAGAAAATACCAATATAATAACCTCATCCACATGTCAAAAATGGATAAGAACAATGGAAGTATTAATAATGAATACGTAAACGCCAACGTTCCATAATATTAACTATGAACACGCTACAGCGTGCTGATCGTGTTTGGAAAACAAAAGATAACATTCCCGTACTCATATACATATTTAAAAATAATTCAACAAAAAGATCCTTAAAAATGCCAAGTAGAATAGCCGAAAGCGCACGGATTTATAGAACATTTGGGCAGTTTTTAAACACTTTATGTCCAGAAAAGAAATCACTTATACGAACACAAGAAAATGGAATAAAAAAATTAATCGCAGTCGACTTTAATGAAACTTGTATAAAAGATGAATTACTGTCCAAATATGAAACTGGTGGAGACACGGTGGAGTAATAGATAGCGTCTAGGACTGAGGAATCGGAGAGCCGAGTTCTTATGTCAAATCGATTACATTCACTTACGTGGTAATACCATTGGGAAAGTATGAATCATCTTCTCCCCCCAGCTATGGATAAATAGCAGGACAGACTGGGTTCTATAGCCTTGGATGGCAACTGGTCTACCGTGGAAAGATATGGCAATATACTGCGGGAAAAAACACATAACTGACTGACTGACTTTCCAGTTGAATCCATTATATTCACTTACGTGCTAATACCCTTGGGAAAGGTATAAATCCTCTTCTTCTCCCACCAGCTATGGCTAAATAGCAAGACAGACCTTGGACGGCAACTGGTCTACCGTTGAAAGAAATGGCAACCTACTGCGGGAAAAAAGCTGCCTCGTCAGTCATGTATCGAAAGATACATGATCGCCTAAGCGTGTATCACGCATGGCACATAACTGACTGATATAAGTTCGTGGCCACCCTGCCTCTTTTTAGGAAACACATTAAATTGAGATATTTTTGTACATTTTAAAGTAAAAGATAAAAGTTCACTAAGTGCAGTGTATTTTCTTTTATTTTGACACAAATTAAGCACTTAATTATGAAAAATTATCATACAGCCGCATCATATTTTGTTTTCGTCAATAAAACCACCACCTGCCTTACTTACTACTTTGCATATTATTGGCATTCATTCCAACAGTTTAAAAAAAAAGAAAGAAAAAGCTCACTCTCACGCATTGGGTATTCTCTTCGAACTCTCCTATCCAATTTACCCCGCCCTAATTCAATGGGAGAAAGGCCAGGCAATTGAGGCAGCAATGTCATAAGTTTCAAAATGTTGTTAATTTTTTTTTTTTATTCAACGTAATTTTGACATAATTTATAAGACAATTTTGGATCGTTGTCGTATTGAAAGGTGATTTTTTCTCCGGTTATAAGTAAACAATATGGTATAGCATGACTTTGCAAAATCGAATGATATTTTATTTTTTCCTGATTCACTTGAACTGAATCAAATCTCCAATCCGTTTGGCAATTTCAGGCGATCTACTGAGGGGTTAAGAGTGAAAAAAATATGCTGTTTCACATACAAAATATTCAGAATTTAGCAAAATGTATTGTGGACAGTGGAATCAAAATTCGAAATTTTTGGTAGTAAGAGGAGCCTGAAGAAAGACTAAAAATAAAAGCAAATAAATATAGTTACTGAAATTTAGTCTTAAGATATTTGCTTGCTGGACATTTGCGCCCCGTACAATGGCGGACCAGACAATGGCGTCTTTGGACATTTGCGTCCCTAGACTAATGCGTCTCTGGATAATTCTTTACCTCTGATAATATTTTGAAGTTTTTAAAGGAAATGACCATACATTTTGAGGTAAGCATAGGTAGTTATCATGTTGAAGGAAAAAAAAGGAATAAAATTAAAAAGAATTAAAAGTTTATTTTTGTTTAAAATGCAATGACAGATTAACAGTGTTCCAAGATAGCTCTACACATCGCCATTATGCCTTTGTTTCATCGGCGTTTTTCTTATAATAGCAGTAGCTGTAATTTTCCTTGTCTACAAATATTTTTCTACCAGTGTTTGATTTTCGGAACTTAGCCATGGGTTCCAAATAAAAATATAATCTATAAAATCCAGAATCTATTTGTATGTTTGTGGTACGCACTGATGGAGTGAACTAAAACTGCTAGCTTAATTTTCTCTTGCTTGAAAAAAAGAAAATTTTCTCTCATTTTATTTATGGTAACTACCTTTCTATTTGTTTGTAGTAATTAAAGGTATTTGCGTGCAAATTTCTATAATAAACACCTCTTAAGAAAATGGTAACTTTAAAAAATTATCAGTGGTATTCAATTATCCAGGGACGTATTTGTATAGGGACGTATTTGTATAGGGACGTAATTGTCTGGTACGCAATTGTCCGGGACGCAAATGTCTACTACACAACTGTCCATCCACCGTGAAATGTTATCTTTTACTTTAAAGAAAATACAAAAAATAGCTCATGTTAAGGTGTTTGCTACAGAAGGATGCTGAGGATACAATGAGCCGAGCATGTAAGCAACGGCGAAGCTTCAGAGGAAATGAGGACAAAAAAGATACTTATACTTAACATCTGGAAGAGAGTTGAAAATTCTAGGACACATCACGAGGAAAGAGAGTTTGGAAAATCTGACACTCACAAGACAGATTGCAGTAAACCGGGGCACAGGGAAACAACGCATAAAATATTTAGGGAGCTTGAGTAAATGAATGGCAGAACAAGGTTTAGGAAAGATAATAAAAAGAGAAAATTTATGAAGATATAGAAAGGATAGGAAATTTTGGAGAGCCATAATCGCCAACGCCTTGAAGGAACACGTCACATAGAAGAAGGATGAACTCGAGTTAATGGATAGCAAAACAATGTTCAGGAGAGATAATAAAAAGACAAAATTTAGTATCTCCAAAGGACAGGAAATTGTGGAGAGCCATGATCGTCTACGTCCTGATGGGATACGTCATATAAAAGAAGGATGAGCTCGAGTAAATGTTCAAGAGAGATAATAAAAAGATAAAATATAATAAAACCTACAAAGGACAGGAAATTGTGGAGAGCCATAATCGCCTACGCCCTGAAGAGACACTTCATATAAAAGAATGACCTTGAGTGAATGGATGGCGGAACAAGGTTTAGGGGAGACAACAAAAAGAGAAAAGTTATTAAGAACTACAAAAGATAGGTAATTGTGGAGAGCCATGATCGCCTCTCGCCCTGAAGAGACACTTTATATAAAAGAATGACCTTGAGTGAATGGATGGCGGAACAAGGTTTAGGGGAGAGAACATAAAGAGAAAATTTATTAAGAACTATAAAAGACAGGAAATTGTGGAGAGCCATGATCGCCTACGCGCTGAAGAGACACTTCGTATAAAAGAATGAGCTTGAGTAAATGGATGGCGGAACAAGGTTTAGGGGAGACAATAAAAAGAGAAAAGTTATTAAGAACTACAAAAGATAGGAAATTGTGGAGAGCCATGATCGCCTCTCGCCCTGAAGAGACACTTCATAGAGAAGAATGAGGTTGAGTAAATGGATGGCGGAACCAGGTTTAGGGGAGACAATAAAAAGAGAAAATTTATTAAGAGATACTAAGGAAAGGAAATGGAGGAGAGCTTTAAACGACTCGACACATGAAGAAGAAGAGCGCTCACCAATGTTTATTTATAAAAATAGTTAATTCAATGGGTTCAACATATTTGCAAATCCAAGTTTGAATTTCGCAAATCGTGTGGTAACTGAATGGGAAATCTCCATAAGGTGAAGAGCTGTGATGTCAACGATGTCCAATCGTCGTGAATGATGAAGAATTGAATTCGTCCTGACAGTCGAAAAGAGGCGAAATCTTCAAATGTGTGACCTGCGGCGAAATGGGTTCGTGGATAAGTACGGCGTAAACGGAATGCATTGCGTTCGATACATGTTGTCCGAAACGAGAAGAAGTGGAGAAGAAGGAAAAGAGGAAGAAGAAAAAAGAAATAAAAGAAAAGTGAGCCGGAAACTAGAAATAGGGAAGAAAATGAGGAAAAAGTAAAAAAAAAAAAAAGAATGAAGTGAAGAAGGTATAAAAAAAAAATGAAGGAAAAATGTAAAAGTGAAATTGAAAAAAAGAAAAAAAAATGAGTAAAAGTAAAAATGAAGACAACGAAGAAGAAAAAAACAAAACGAAAGAGAAAAGGAAATAAGAAAAAAGAGGGAGAAAATGAGGCGAAAATATGAAAAAGAAAAAAGAAGAACGAAGTGATGAAGATATACAAGAAGAAAATTAAAGAAACACGTCAATGTATAATTGATAAAGAAGAAGTATGAAAAGAAGAAGAAGAATGAAAAGAAGAAGAAGAAGGAAAAGAAGTAGAAAAATTAAAAGAAGAAGAAGAAACAGAAGAAGAAAAAGAATGAAAAGAAGAAGAATGAAAAGAAGAAGGAAAAGAAGAATGAACAGAAGAATAAGAATGAAAAGAAGTAGAAGGAAAATAGAAGAAGAATGAAAAGAAGAAGAATGAAAAGAAGAAGAAAGAAAAGAAGAAGGAAAAGAAGAAGAAGAATGAAAAGAAAAAGAAGAAGGAAAAGAAGAAGAAGAATGAACAGAAGAAGAATGAAAAGAAGAAGAAGAATGAAAAGAAGAAGGAAAGGAAGAAGAAGAAGAAGGAGAATGAAAAGAAGAAGAATTAAAAGAAGACGTATGAAAAAGAAGACGTATGAAAAAGAAGAAGTATGAAAAGAAGAAGAAGGAAAAGAAGAAGAAGGAAAAGAAGAAGAAAAAGAAGAATAAAAAGAAAAAGAAGATGGAAAAGAAGAAGAATGAAAAGAAGAAGAAGAATGGACAGAAGAAGAAGAATGAAAATAAGAAGAATAAAAAGAAGAAGAAGAAGAAGAAGAAAAAGAAGAAGAAGAAAAAGAAGAAGAAGAAAAACCAGAAGGAAAAGAAGTAGAAGAATAAAAAGAAGAAGAATGAAAAGAAGAACAAGAAGGAAAAGAAGAAGAAAAAGAAGAAAGAAATGAAGAAGAAGAATAAAAAGAAGGAGAATGAACAGAAGAAGAAGAATGAAAAGAAGTAGAAGAATGAAAAGACGCAGAAGAATTAGAAGAAGAAGAATACGAACAAAATGAGAAAAATAGAGAGAAGGCGAAAAAATTATGAAGCGGAAGAAACTCGTTAATAGATTCAGAATGAAAATGTGTAAAAAGCTTTTAGAACGATGAAATATAAAGTGAAGAAATGAAGGAAAAATTTGAAAGTGAAATTGAGAAGAATACGAAAAGGAAGAATGTGAAGAAGAAGAAGAAGAAGAATGAGAATAATAAGACGACGACGAAGAAGAAGAATGAGAAGAAAAATGCTCAGAAGAAGAAGACGAAGAAGAATGCAGAGAAGAAGAATGGGAATAAGAAGACGAAGAAGAAGAAGAATGAGAATAAGAAGACGAAGAAGAATGCGAGGAAGAAGAATGCGAAGAATAATAAGAAGAATACGACGAAGAAGAAGAAGAATGTTAAGAATAATAATAATAAGAAGAAGAATGCGATGAAGAAGAAGAATGCGAAAAAAATGAGAATGAGAAAAGGACGACGAAGAAGAAGAAGAATGCGATGAAGAAGAAGAATGCGAAGAAGAAGAAGAAAAAAGAAGACGAAGAAGGAAAAGAAGAAAAAGACGAAAGAGAAGAAGAAGAAGAAGAAGAAGAAAAAGAAGAAGAAGAAAAAGAAGAAGAAGAAAAAGAAGAAGAATGAATGAATGAATGAATGAATTGAAGAATTGAACGATGCTTCAGAAATATTGAACAGGAAGGACAAACACAAAAGAAATGAGATGTAGAATTAGGAGGGAAAAGAAGAGGAAGAATAAAACGGCGATTCAGAAGAAAAAAAGAATGAATAAAAAGAAGAAAGTTAGTAATAATAATAATAATAATAATAATAAGAAGAAGAAGAAGAAGAAGAAGAAGAAAGTGTGAGAAGAAGAGGACCACCTCTACGACTTAGGCGACAACAAGAAGGAAGAGGAAATAAGAAGGAAGAGAAAGAAGAAAAGAGATGACGACAAAGAAAATGCAGCAGGAGGAGAAAAAGAAAGAGCAAGAAGAGAATAGACTAACTAATAATAATAATAATAATAATAATAATAATAATAATAATTCCAAAACATGAAAGCTTCTCACTTGTCACCACACGCATCATCTGAAGGCTGATGTTGAGTGTCTATATGTGCCTTGACCGAAAGAGGCAGAGGATTAGTTCAACTAGAAACGTTTTACAACACTGCAAAATTGTCCTTCAAACATATCTGAAAACTACAGAAGACTAGATGATGGTCTATGCCAAAGAACATGAAAGAAAAAGAAAGTTTATCCAGTAATGAAGGAAGCCAACAAGTTCAAAATGGAGTTTCAGCTGGCTGAAGAAATGCAAGTAAAGCATAATACAGAGACTGCAGCTGCAAAATGCTTAAAAAAAAGAAAGCAAAAGCAAATGCAGCCGACCAGATACAGAAACAATGGCAAGATAAACCTCTTCACTGTCAATACTCTGCCCGTTACAAAACCCGTATCCATCAGTGGTTATGTCGTGCAGGGTTAAAATATGAAAGCTAAGGTTTTATTCTTGCTGTACAGGACAAATGATTGCTAAATAGAAATTACCAAGCACAGATATTGAAAAACTGTGTTAGTCTAAAATGCAAATTCTGTGATAAATATCCAGAAACAATTGACCATCCTGTGTCAGGCTGCGTGGTATTGGCACCCACTGAATATAAAACTCGACATGACAAAGTGAGCCAATATCTGCAACTTTTACGGAAAGACAACTGCAAGAAATTGGTATGAATACCAATCAGACTGAGTTACGGAGGTAGGACCTATAATAATTTTATGGGGCTTTACATTACACACACTCAAAGCTAATCGCAAAGACATCGGGATTAGAGACTGCAAAGACAAAATATGCCTTCTTATTGACCTGACAGTCCCTGCAGACTGCTATGTATCTTTGAAGATCTTCAAAAAACTATCAAAGTACACTGACATTGAAATGGAAACCTCAAAAAATGTGCCACATGAGTTGGAGCCCGTGGACTGATTGGAACAGATTCTTTGTTTTCTAACGACATTTTCCTATCTTTTCTTTGCTTAGTTTAGTAAAGACATGAGGAGATTGTCCATATAAACTCATTGAAGGGATTTCTCGGAGCTCATGCATTAAAGAAATACAAAAAATTGTACTCACAAGTACAACCCACATCTTACATATCTTAATACTTTGCTTAGTTTATGAAAGGCATGAGGAGATTGTCCAGCATTCACTACCATATAGGAGATTAGATATTACATAGCAGTTCAGCACTCTTTTCTTTGTTTCAAAAAGACATTTTCCTTGGTTTATCTCTTAATACATATTTGCTTAGTTTATGAAAGACATGAGGAGATTGTCCATCATTTACTGCCATATAGGAGATTAGGTATTACAAAGCAATCTCTTTTCTTTGCTTGTTTCTAAAGACACACTACAAAGCAATTTCTTTTCTTTATCTCTTTCTAGTTTATGAAAGACATGAGGAGATTGTCCATTCATTTACTGCCATATAGGAATTTTCCAATAATTGACATTTTTCTATCTCTTAATACTTTGCTTAGTTTATGAAAGGCATGAGGAGATTGTCCATCATTTACTGCCATATAGGAGATTAGGTATTATTCAGCACACTTTTTTTTTGTTTCTAAAGCATTTCTAGCATTACAATTTTTCTTTTGTTTCTAACGACATTTTCCTATCTCTTAATACTTTGCTTAGTTTATGAAAGAGATGAGGAGATTGTCCAGCATTCACTACCATATAGGAGATTAGATATTACATAGCAGTTCAGCACCCTTTTCTTTGTTTCAAAAGACATTTTCCTATCTCTTAATACTTTGCTTAGTTTATGAAAGACATGAGGAGATTGTCCATCATTTACTGCCATATAGGAGATTAGGTATTACAAAGCAATTCAGCACACTTCTTTCTTAGTTTTATGAAAGACATGAGATTGTCCAGCATTCACTACCATATTTTTCTAACGACATTTTCCTATCTCTTAATACTTTGCTTAGTTTATGAAAGGCATGAGGAGATTGTCCATCATTTACTGCCATATAAGAGATGAGATATTACATAACAGTTCAGAAATCTTTTCTTTGTTTCTAACGACATATTCCTATCTCTTAATACTTTGATTAATTTATGAAAGGCATGAGGAGATTGTCAAGCATTCACTGCAATATTGGAGATTAGATATTGCATAGCAGTTCAGCAAACTTTTCTTTGTTTCTATGGACAATTTCTTATCTCTTAATACTTTGCTTAGCTGATGAAAGGCATCTTCAATTATTACGATGCGTTTTCACGTCATCTTTTTATTGCATATTATTTACACATATTCTTATATAGTTAAAAGTCTATCATTCGTCCATGCTTAGAATATTGCTGCTACATCTGTTCTGGTGGTTCTACTATATATTTAGAGATTCTTGATAAAATCCAAGGATTTTTATTACTAACACTATTTTTCTTGTATATAAAATTGTAACCATTGTAAATTTTCGTTGGTAATTCAGTTTTAAAAGTGGTTATTTTTATTCTCGGCCCCCAGACTTATTGTACATATAGGAACAAGTTCAGACTTCATAGAGACTTGAGGTATTATGGTGGCTGTAATAATGTGATACTATTCGTTACCGCGGTAAAACAGAAGAAAGTGTTATGTGCTGATAGACATTGATACCAAAAACCCGTTGGAAGAATTTAGAATTTAATTCATACATGAACTATTTGAATTGTATGTCGAGCGGTTTGATCAATGGAAAAGTAACGTAGACTTAGGGGTCAATGTATTTAATCTCTGGTAAGAAAAAGTCACACTTTGCCTCCTTAACCTTAAAACCATATTCTTGTATCTTTTCAAATACGTTTATTATATGGTTCCGGTGCTCTGCCGTAGTTTTACTAGTAACCAGTATATCATCCAAATAGGCTGTTGCGTAGTCAAGGTCGCCCAGCATGGCGTCCATGACCTGCTGGAAAATTACAGGCGCAACATTTACTCCAAAAGCCAGTCTATTGTATTTGTACAACCCTCTATGGGTGTTTATGCAGAGCAATTTGGAACTTTCTTCTTCCACCTCTATCTGAAGGTATGCGTTCGAGAGGTCAATTTTAGAAAAAAATTTTCCACCATTGAGTTTATTGAAAATTTCTTCAGGGCTTGGGAGAGGATAGTGGTGATCTTGCAAGGCATCGTTTAACCCTGTGGAAAAATCTGCGCATACTCGTATTTGATTGAACTTATTTTTACGTAGACCGTAGGTGCTGCCCACTCGCTGAAATCTGTTTTTGACAGAATACCTGCTTGTTCGAGTCTATCTAACTCTGTTGATTTGTTCTAGAGCAGCGAAAGGGACATTCCGTTTCTTTTTGAATACCGGTTGTGCACCGTCCTTCATCTTGAACTTAGCTTTCATTTTAGTACATTTCCCAAGGACGCCAGAAAAAACCTGGGGAAATTGTTGTTTGAGTTCCTTTTTGAGATTAACCAAATTGGACGTTGTACTTTGTATCTTGCGACAAAATGTACTCATTGGGCAATCCCAAAGATTGAATTTTTCCATCCAATCTGTTCAAAATAAGTTATCTGAAGTTTTCAATACGTAGGCTTTGAGCTTTTTGGTAACTCCATTTAGTGTTACTGTAAGTATTACCTCGCCTAAAATGTTAATCTTTCCGCCAGTTACGGATTTTGCTGTTTTATCCGTTTTTAATAAGGTCGGCTTGATTAATTTTCGCCAAGTACGCCAATTAATGGTTGAAAGATCGGAACCCGAGTCAAGCTGGATTTAATGGAATTATTGAAAATATCCACAGTTACATATTTCCTTAAATTCCTATTGGCAATATCGTCAGATTCAGCTTGCCTAATTTTATTTTGGGGTTTTCTCGTTCTGTTGGCGTACCAGCACGAAGTTAATGTATGCCCACATTTATTGCAATTTTTGCAATAGTTTTTGTTCTTAACTGGACAGAATTTCATCCAGTGTCATTTACCACAATGGTAACATGGTCCGGGCGGTTTCTTTAACCTATTTGGGTTTTGGTTACTGCGGAATTTAGGACATGAGATTTGCCTTTTGTCATTTTGAGGGGAATAGGAGGTAGACTTGCTTCTGATTTTATTAATCTGAGCCACACTTTACAGATATTACTCTTTGACAGTCCTCTGCCAGTTTTTGGAGAGTCAATCCTTGTTCGTTCTCAAGCTTGGTTAGTACCCGTCGTCTGACTTCGGCGTCTTCTGCTGATACTAGACCTTGTGCGAAAATCAAGCACTTGAAATCATCGGCAGTCAGTTCGGCTAGTTTAAAATCATTACAGAGCTTGTTTACCGATGCTGCAAACGTTAGAAAATCTTGCTGGTTGTCTTTGACTGTGTTCAGGCATTTCCAACGTTTGTGGAACAAGGTTGTGTTAGTCCCGAATAGTTCCTATAGGAGCTTAATAGTCTCTGAAAAATCCAAGTCAGTGGTTTTCTTGGGTAGTATGAACCTACGATGTTCTGTAGTTCCCAGTTTTCTCAATAGTAGACATACCTTTTATTTTACTGGGCCATTGTTCACAGTCTACGTTGAAAATATCTTCGTAGCGCCTGTAAAAAGCCTGGAATATTTTGTCGTTCTCTGGTACGTATTCAAAGGTTTCCCTTGAATTGTAGATTGTACTCTGGGAGAATATTGTATCTTTTTCAGAGTTTGAGCCTTTTAATGCATTTACGAGTAATTCTTTAACTTGTTTCTGTTGTTGTTCAGCATTCTGAAGCGTAATTTGTTGGAATTTCATTTGTTGTTTATGTAATTCCAAAAATAGTTGTTGTTGTCTTTCTTCTGATTTTTGTTGCTAATCCAACTTTACTTTTAGCATTTGGGCAATTACTTTTTGAAAATCTTTCATATTTAGGCAAATAAAAATGACAGCGATTTTGTGTAGCTTTGAAACCGGTGTACCACGGGGAGGTACACAAAAAATCTTGATAATTTTTTTTTTCTTTTACACACAAAAAAAATATGGACAGATAATTAGTTTAACTAAACTAATTATATGTTTAGGTTTTTTTGCGATTCCGTGGTTCCGTTAATTTTAACGTAATTGTATAAATTTTCACCACACTTATTATGTATTTTTTTTTTATAGAGGTACAAAAAAGAGAAAACTCGCCTCAGGGAATTTGAGAGGAGAATAATTTTATGCACGAGTTCAACTCAGTTACATAAAAAAAAATTTAGATAGTTTTTTTCGAAAACTTCAGTCGTAAATAGTACTTGTGTTTTCAGTTTGTTTTATGAACAAACTGGGTTTTTTTCTGTGTGTGGGTGTGTAAGAAATCGTTCTCGTAATGTTATTTGGACAGATTTTAATATTCTGTAGATGTCGAATCGCTAGTTCGTCACTGCTGTTTGGTATCGGAATATATATATATATATATATATATATATATATATATATATATATATATATATATATATATATATATTATATGTACACGCTAGGTGTTGCGTTTAAATCGCTAATGTAGTAATAGTAGCTTAATTCCTCGTTCAACACTACTGTGGGAACGCGTAGCGTTTCTGTGTATTTTTCGAGTACTCTGTCGCTATTGATATGCTGAGAACGAAATTCTCGAATCTTTCTGTCGCCACTGATGTGGGACTGTCAAGTTATTGCGGTTTTCGACGTCAATGCGTTTCTTGAATTCTTCGTCGACACAGATGTGGACCCAAAGTTGGGACCACGGAAGGAAAACACGGAACACGGATTAGAGGTAAGAAAGATATATTAAACAAAAAGGTTACAAAGATAGTCTAAGCGGAGCTTACTATGTGCTAGTGTCAAATATTGGTAGTCGTACGCGGCTGATACTACGGTATTAGAATACTCTCTCTCTCTCTCTCTTTCTCTCTCTCTCTCTCTCTCTTTCCTCCTCCTTTTCTCTCTAGAGTGTTATGTCGCATACTTTATATAGTCCTGGAAGAGTCCATGTTGTAGGTATGTTACGGTCTCACAATAATAATGCATGGCACATAACTGAATTATTTACTCTTCTAGTAACATATCCTACCCATTTTAGTTGTTGCTGATGTTGGAATTCTTCAAGAAATGTTTGTCATTTGGTAAAGTTCTTTCAGATAGTGTTGTGTTAGTCTATAACGTACTGTAACAGATCTGTATTTAGTAGTAAATTCGATTCTCAGTGGCCCACCACATGAGATGCTCCTCACAATCCTGAGCTCAGTAAATGTCAGACACGTTTGTTTTATCCTCGGAGCATATTCTACATAAAAGAAAATGTCGAAATCTTTTCAAATAGACACGGACGGGGAAAATGATTACAACAGCCAACATCCGACAGAACGGTATTGACGAACGGACATCCAATAACCTGTGAATCCATGGTGATTCTAAAATATATATTTTCAGATCTGACGTCCACGCTTTGACAGAAGTGGTTCATAAAAATGCCGAAATAATCGGTGGGTGCTAAATTTAATCCCGGCGAGAATTTATGGACGGTTTGGTCGGCGCCATAAGCCACGCATGCGTAAAGCGACCAACGGCAAAACGGTGAGAAAATAATAGCAGACAAAAGAAGGAAATGAGGTGACAAGGTAAAAATATGAGCAAATACAATTCACACACACACACACGTGTGTATACTCTATCTGAAATTGTTACACACACAGACACATATATATATATGTGTGTGTGTGTGTGTGTGTGTAAAAATTTCAAATACAGTATATCTGTAAAAGGGCAATATGTATAAAGACAAAAGGAAAACTTCTCTTACTCGACGCGTTTCGTCCTCTGAGGGACTTTATCTAGGGAATGAAAAGATTTTATTTTCTGACAAGTATTATATATACTGGGCATATGTAGAGCTGACCTTTCGGATTCGAGGATCCCCGTCTACTAGTGCGCCGACCCAACCCCTATTGCAGACGCTTTTATTCAACACCCACATAGCCAACCTGTGGTTTATATTGCAACTACGCTGAGCAGACCTTAGATACAGTTTCTGGGAACGAGCGTGTTCTCTAGCATGATCAACAATATGAACAAGGCCAGTACGACCCCTTTCGGGCTAGCACAGATATCGACGGCCCTAATTTCACTCCTTGGGTCAACCCGTGCTATGGTTTTCAGGCAGTTTCCAAAGGTGCCGCACGCTGGGGTCGACCCCACCTTCCTGACGAATCAACCATGGAGAAATTCGAACCCGGGTCTCATGGGCAGAATGCGAACGTTATAAAAACACGGCTATATAATATATATATTACATACATTAGGGAAGAGTATTTTGGTGTAATGGATATCGGCTCCGAATGGGAATTCGAAGAGCCGTGTTTGAATTCCAGTCAGGTCTGTTATATTTACTTATGCACAAAATACCCTTCGGAAAGGTATAAATCCATCTCTTCTTTCCCCCAGCTATGGGTTGAATAGTAGAAGAGACTTACCAACCAGCCTACCGCAGAAAGAAATGAGAACACCCTGCGTGAAAAAATCTGCCTCGTCAATCGTGTATCACGCGTGGTATTTAACTGACTGATTATATACGAGAGCTAAAATTTTATTGGTTTTTCAAATTGATGACCGCTCCTATAGCTTACATTTGACTTGATAAAGTCCCTCACAGGACGAAACAAATCAGCTAAGTTTTTTTTTATATATAAAAATATATATATATATATATATATATATATATATATATATATATATATATATATATATATAAACATATACGAGCAGCATGAATCTATCCAGCTCTTATCTTAAATAACAACTTAAAAAGACTTTCTGAACAACACAAGTCTAACCAAAAATCATGTTAAAAAATTAAAAAAATAAAAAAGCAAATGAAAACTACAGACAAAAGTTTATTTTCTCCATGAAGACATTCATTTCTGTAGTTCACTGCTACAAACAGGCAGAAAAATCTTTTCCTCCTGATGATGGCCATGTTGGTTGAAACTAGTCGAGGAATCTAACTGAAATAATAAAAACGAAAGAATATTAATATACAACACAGTGTGTCTGAAGATTTTAATCTTTTAATATTTTTTATTGTTCAATTGTCTACACACTGATGAGCTGTGATACAGCGAAACAGGCGTGTATGTATATGACTATATATATTTATGTGAGTGTGTGTAAAGAATTAAATTCTTTTTTTAAATTCTTAAATTAAATTTAAAATTCTTAAATTAAATTTAAAATTCTTAAATTAAATTCTTTTTTTAAATTCTTAAATTAAATTCTTAAATTAAATTTAAAATTCTTAAATTAAATTCTTAAATTAAATTCTTAAATTAAATTTAAAATTCTTAAATTAAATTTAATTTTAAACAGTTATTTCAGATACTTTATTAGTAGACAATCGTATTTAAAATCGACGTCTAAGATTTATTTGGAAAAGTGTGTATTACGACTACTGGCCTCTGTGTTCTAGAAATTTTAATGAAGAAATGTTTTCTAGCAGTAAAAAAAACATGTGTCACCCTTTTCAGGAGGAAACCCAATTATATCCGGTGTGCCTTGCCGCTCAGCCGCGAAGAGCTTAACAGTGCTGTAAGGCTCTATTTTTTCCTTTTTAAGGGAATCACACTTCCTAAATAAGATATTTTTCTCGACAGCCCATATCTGCTCAGTTGTGTGTTCCTGGCGTAAACAAAGCAATTTTTAAAGAATAAATGGTTTTATTTTTAATCCGACATTAATATTTCAAACGTTATTTATATTCAGGTGAAAACTATTATCATTCAGTTTAATTTTGTTAGAAACAAAGGAAAGTTTGCTGAACTCTTAGGTAACACCAGTCCCCCCATATAGCCAGACAATCACATCACAAATGAAGAGGAGATGTGATTCTACAGGAGAATGCTGAGAATGAATTGGATGGAATATGTGAGCAACGAGAACGTTTTAAGAAAAACGAGAATGAAAAAGACGCTTGGTTTAGGATCAGAATGAGACAGTTGATATTTCTGTGGCACATAATGAAGAATAAGATCTTCAAGAATTTGACATCCACGAGGTATACTGGAGGCAAGATTGTTTTTTTTTTTTTGGCTTATCAACCTATATATAAACACATGTTTCTTGAACTCAATCTTCAAGCCTGAAGTACGCTGTCGCAACCCGGTGTTGGCCACAGTGTGAACTTTTATATTTACTTACACTATACCCATAAATATAACATACATTAAGAGCATATTTTTATATATATATATATATATATATATATATATATATATATATGTGTGTGTGTGTGTGTGTGTGTGTGTGTGTGTGTGTGTGTGTGTACCAGTTGTAACACCAAAATTCTCCAAATCGTGTAACAGCACAATTGTCCAGCGCACAAAATTTGTAATATCTAAAAAAAACACTAAACTAATTGATATTCTTTTTTAACCAAATCGTGTAACGGCATGTAATAATTGTCCATTTCACAAAATGTTTAATATCTAAAAAAAAAACTGAGTTATTTTCTCCAGAATTTCAGATATGATGTTTAGCAATCTTGATATCATTTTTCGTAAGAATCATTGAAAACCCCTTTGAATTACTCAGATAAAAAGAGACCAGTTTAAAATTATTTTGTACATGACCCTATGTTTTCACAACTGAGCAATGGTGAGAGGAAAATAGATCATTCAGCCCTTCAGTAATGGAACCAGCATCCATACTCTGGCTTCCAACTTTAAAAAAAAAAGGGAACGGTAGAGAAGAAAACTGGATCAGGCGGTCACAACAGGAAGAGGGATCATCATTTCAACTTAGACCTAAAGAGATGAATTAGAAAAGCTCCAACTCAATTCATAAGACGTTTGGCACGCAAGAGAAAAGTTTCAGCTATGTCAGTCCAAAGAGCAGTGAAAAAAAGACTTGGATATGAAATCGTACGTAAAACCTTTTGTGCGCCTTGTTACTCAAGGACTAGAAGATTTGAGGGCGAAGATAATCTTCAATAAGTTGAATATGATCCTGGAATTATATATATATATATATATATATATATATATATATATATATATATATATATATGATCGAAATAAAAAGTATAAAATTTAATATTACAAGACATATTAAAACAATATTAAATAATAAAAAAAAAACTCAACAACAAGGGGCGGAGAAGCAACCGGTTTCGCTCCCGCTCTTGAGGCTTCCACAGGAGATTCAAAATTAAAACAGAGAAATGTACAATAAGAATAGGTGGAAACAAATATATATATATATATTTGTATATATGCAAGAAGGAACTAGAGGCAGATGACAGCGAGTCCCAGCAAACACTCAGGTTGATGACACCTTTTGTTTATTTAACGGTGAAGTTGAGGCTGACCAGTTTCTTTCGTTTTTAAATGGTATCCATCCGGCACTAAGGTTCACTATCGAAAAAGAGTCTAATCATCAATTGGCTTTTTTGGATGTATTAGTACATCGTACGGTAACAGGTTTTCTTACTTCCGTTTATAGAAAACCTACTTTTGCAGGGTTATACACGCGTTGGGACTCTTTTTGTCCCACTAAGCGCAAGATCAACATTATTAAAACCCTCCTCCACAGAGCATTAAAGATTTGCTCTGAGCCTTTCCTGAACGATGAAATTAACTTTATTAAGGATACCCTATGTAATTTGGGTTATCCTCTTAATACTGTTAATTCAGTTATCCGGAGTAAAGTTGAAGAGTTCAAGTGCCGATCTCTACACTGTCAAAAATGCCCTGTTTAATTTTAGATTACCCTGGGTTGGTACCAAATGTGAAAAAATAGCCAAACAAATTTCATCAAAGGTTCGCTGTTGTTTTTTCTCTGCTGAAGTTCGGATTATTTTTCAAACTCGGCCTATGTTTCGATCTGCGTGTAAAGACGTTCTCCCTCCCCACCATATTAATTCAATTGTTTACAAATACGTGTGTAGTTGCGGAGCCAACTACATAGGTAGAACAACTCAGCGCTTAGACATGAGAATAAAGCCGCACGTTCCTACTAAAATTAGAAATCACACCATGCCTTTGAATGGACTCGTCCCGAACACCTACAGTTCCGCCATATGCCAAATTTAGTGTCGACTGGTTCATCGTGTTGGCCCGGTCACACTCTGTATTTCATCTGAAGGTTCTGGAGGCGCTTTACATCGGGTCCCGCAAGCCTTCTTTGTGCAAACAACGTGAGTGTTTGCTGGGACTCGCTGTCATCTGCCTCTAATTTCTTCTTGCATATATACAAATATATATATATATATATATATATATATATATATATATATATATATATATTTCCACCTATTCTTATTGTACATTTCTCTGTTTTAATTTTGAATCTCTCGTGGAAGCCTCTGAAGAGCGGGAGCGAAACCGGTTGCTTCCCCGCTTGTTGTTGAATTGT